CTGGAAGTTGGGTCCAACATGTGTTGACCGGACACAACCTACATCAACGTGTGAACACACTTTCCTTCCACTGCTTGCCCACCGGCAGCAACAAATGACTTCTTGTGGAAAGTCAACTTTACTAGGAGAATCTCAAAAGTAACAAGCCGTGGATACATCTCTGGCAACGCAGTACATCGACGCCGAAACAGGACATCCACTCGAAGGTGGTTCTCCTGTTTATCTAGTGGGACATAGATGGTGTACTTTACTAAGAATTCCTGCAAAGTCGTCGTCAGTCGGAGATTCGTCGACGACTTCATTGACTCAAGTCCTTCAAGCTTCTTTTGCGACGGCATTTGTGCGTTACCTGAGAGATGGCGCAAGTTCGTAGAAATCTATGGACAACGTTTCCAAGGTAGCGTACTTTAAATAAAATTTGATGCAAGTCCATACAAATGAGGTCACGCACCTAATGTATAAGCGGCAAATTAAACCCACACACTTCAGCCACACTTACAAGAGCCAGTAGGGCATCTTCAAGGCCGTCTGCCAGCTGGGAGGTGGTGAGTTTGGCTGAGTCTGCGTCGGGGAAGGCTGGAGACTTGTTCGTCTTTTCACTGGCCCTCTCGACGAGCTTGAATTCCAGCGGATTGGCACCTGGTGGTGGGGAGGAGGGCTGGACTAGACGACTCAGCGGCATGGTGAGTCCCCGTGGGGTCTGAACCTCTTCGGAGGCCTTCCTCGATGTGCCACTGGACATGCACGAGAAGCTCCGCGCGACGGCTGTCACCGGCGTCGATTCTAGGACGAAAAGCACGATTGTTTGGCTGCAAAAGTCCGACTGGCGAGAGCAGACAGGGTTCAGGGAATTAGGAACAACACGGGGTTACGGACAAACCTACCGGAACTTCGATCGAGGTAAGAGGCAACCTTGTCGCCGGACGAGCAGCAATCCAGATCTAGGCGGCTGAGGAAGTCGGTCATCGTCGCCTCAACCTTCTTCCAGTCGCTGGCGCTGGTATTTGACTCGGAGAGGAGGAGGAGGTTTCGGGGTTGGGACGAGGTGCACTGGGTGACCATGAAGTCCCAGTCGAGGCTTCGGCATCGTCGGTTCTTCCAGTGACCGGAGGCATTGCGGAAGAGGTAGCAACTGCTGAAGCCGTCGGTAGCCAACGAGACGAGTGAGTGAGATGTCGGCTCGGGCGAGCTCTACATCAAACAAGACGAAGACAACAATAAGAATAGTAGTAGGTCATGTTTGCGTGTGTGTGTGTGATGCAAGTGACGTTTAAAAGACCTCCTACAACATGTGCAGACGCAAGATACCTCTTCAAATGACGCAAAACCAGAAGTTGTGAAACGTGATTGTGGTCTCAAACTAAACCACAGTTTATGCGGGCGCACAGCACTCTCAAAGCCGAGGAGACTGGGAGCACCGACAGTAAGGCAATCGAAGTCTTTGTTTTCCTATTTCCCTTCAGACGTGTGCTTCACTGTTCCTACGTTGTTGTATTGCGAGAAGGTATGTACGGGTGTCAATGTCGTGATATCTCGCGGTATCGGTTAGAATGAGTTACAACCCATGCAATGCATTCGGGGTCGTGTCGGGTGGATTACGTGCGACACAAATTGTCCACAATTGTCACAAACAAAAACCAAGCTTCTTTAATCTGCTAACAGTTCCGAAACAGAGGAAGACCGGTCGACATAACCGACGCCACATCCGATAGTAAAGGTGAAATTTGCATTTCACATTTCCATCTCATCCTTCGTGAAGGAGCGACCACCTCGACAACAGGCCGAAACTCGAAGCAGCCACCGAAAAGCTACCAGGTTCGGCGAAACTAGCGACTTAGAAGGAATGCTTGGGAGTGCGTGAGGTCGAGCCTAACCTTGGAGTGCAGCGTCTCCGAGTGTGATCGGGTCCTGCGACTGATACTTCCCATCACCGAGTCGTATACGCGCTCCTGATTGTGGCGTTTCGTGCTGTCGTATACGCTGGAGTAGACACCGTCGCAGAGCGAACTGGCTCCGCTGCTGGGCCCGGCTGACGGGAGCGGCGGCAGAGGCGTCACTTCGGAGAGACGCATCGGAGCGTGAGGCGGGAGGCTCCAGCGTTTGAGCGAGGCAACCGCACCTACGCAATGCGTCTCCCGCCTCACACTGGCCAGGACCGCGGCAACCTCGTCGTAGACGGGGTCTGTCGTGGCGTCGGGCTCGTCGCCAGTGAAGACGACCGGCGCGAATACCTCGGGGTGGCAGGTGGTGGCGGAGAGAGACCGACAGGCGCTCGTTGACGTGCTGGAAGGAACTATGTCCGAGTAGCGACGGGACTTCGAATGCAATGCGCAGTTTGTCGGGGGCACAGAATTCGCTGGTATGCCTGGACGAAGACACAAAAACACGAGGCGTGATAGGACTCAAACAAGGCTTCATATTGGAAGAGAACTCTCACGAGTAGTGACGGCTGTTTAGGAGGCCAAACGGCTGCCAGAGTTTGAGCCACCGCTTCAAAACGAATGAAGAAGCTAAAGGTGGAAGGTCACGAAATTGGAAGATTTGATGAATGTGTGAAAAAGATAAGCCAAACGAAGCATTCAACAGCTAGTCAGCTACTGTGGTCCTTGAGACGCCAAGAAGAGGGTTTAACAGCCACTCACCGCGCATGCTATGTGTAGCCGATGCAGTGGAGACTGCTGGAGGCCGAGCGAGGAGCCCTAGGGCTATGATGATGCCCCGGATCCACTGTCCCATGGTGACGGTGTCGCCAGCGTCGAAGAGGAGCGGCACGGCGGAGAGATTGGGCGCGGAGAGGCGGATGGCCGAGCGACGAAGCTTGTCCTCGGCCAGGGACACCTCAACCAGGCCGGGTTGCAGCGGCAGGCTGAAGACGGGGCCGGAGGTGGACGCGGACGGCGGGCGGTTGGAGGAGAAGATCTCGAGGACGGAGGAGCGCAGAACGCACCAGCGCTTCGTCCAGGGCAGGCGGCCGGGCACGCGGATGTAGGCCTCGCCTAGGGACAAGACGGCATTAAGCGTGACCGAGTGCTGGTGTAGCGCAAATTCAGCGGTGTGAACAACACACGAACTGACGAACAACACCGTTACCAACAACGACGACCAGTCGATCCTAACTCACCAGCCACAAAAACTGAAATTTCGAAAGAAAAAGAAAACAGACAAAGCTCGACGATTTTCGGCGAAAAAAACACGTTTTTTCTTTACACGAGACATTTGGCCAACACACGAACCTCGAATGTAAACAGAAAGCGAACAATGTGAATTGAGAGCGATTTGTGCACATGGCTGATTAATAGGCACATATGCTTAACTCTGGTCAGATGATCGTTTACACAATGTAGAGTAACGGACAGCAGTGTAACACTATAGACGTCACATAGCGAGTGAAATAACATGTGACTTGACAAAACGTCAAATCCACAATCCCAGTTGCTGCATTCCACGGCAATTGCCAAACGCGAGGCAATTTGACAATGACGCAGTACCACCACCTTGAAGTGATTTTGGCCCAATTGGAATCTGCGCACATAAAGCACAGGGAATGGGCTGGTAGCGCAACACCAGGCGTGGATAACTGCTGTTTCCAAATTCCAAATACCAGGTTTCAACAGCCTCTACTAGGGCTCCGTGTAGGTTAGAACAACCACCCGCAACCTCGTGAGCCAATCCGAGGATAAGGAATCCGATGAGGGATAAGGCAAAGGCTGTACTCACAAGATAAAACCGATTGCGCTGATGATTCAGAGGGTTTCGGAAGGGGCTGGCGAGGCGTCACCGTCTTCGACGATGCCCCCCTCATGCTCCGCCAAGCCCTCACCTTCGGTGAAGGCGTCGACACGCCACCGCCGGAGCTACCACCACCTCCAGACGAAAGCAATTTCTCCACCGATTCCGATTCTAGCTGGGACCAGCCGAAGCCCAGCAGAGCATCGCCCCGCGTGGTGACACAGGACGCTGGAAGCGGCGGTGGCGTGGGCGGAGGGGAGAAGACATCCGCCTCGATGATGGTCGGCCGTCTCGCGCCACCGGTCAGCGTTACCGACCTGCGCCTGGAGCTGAGCGACTCCACCTTCCTGCGAACCGAGGAAAAGAGTCCGGACGCACGCGATTGGAGGAGGTCGTAGGTGGTGGAGTTGCGAGGGGAGGAGGAGGAGTTGGCAATGCCACGGAGGCTGGGTGGGTGCCCACGCTCCGCGTTGAGGTAGACGTCGCCGCAGGCACCCTCGGTAGCCGAGCTGCTCGATGACAACACACCCGAGAATCCACTATCCTCCTAAGCAAACCAGAAAAAAACACCAAACGAATTAGGCGACTAAACACGCGCACACACACACGCACGACAAAGCCCAGGAGGCAGTGGGCCAGTCTTCGACTTGCCTGAGTTGCGTCAGACAAGTCGGCCTTCTTATTTCCCCCCGACGCATGCAGCTGGTGCTCCAGAGTACCTGCAAACAAGCCATCACAGTTACTTGGGGTCGTGCACGGGAAGAGGAAGAGACTTTTCGGCCGTACATCCCTGGGCGTGGCAGTCTTGCGGAGGTGCGCCGTTGAAACGGTCATGGTCGACATCGACGTGGTCCGTGCGAAATCGGCCATCGAGGAATCCGCGGGTTCTGGGGTGCGGCGGGTTACAAGGCCGTGCACCGGGCAAGGTGTAATTCCCTGGGCGTATTGGTTGATTTGCTGAAAACAACACACACACACACACATTTCACCCCTTTTTTCACCATGAATGGGACAAATTAGATGAATAATTTGACTGCAATGAGGGTATATTAGGTGTGTGACTTACTTTTTACGCATTTGTTTCCACCTACATGGGTTACATGACCTCTCTGAATAGCAGAGTTTACAATGACTGCACTGCATTTTATACGAATTCCAACAACAAGGAAAAATGGTTCCAAAGCACGGCAGAAATTAATTCGCAGTGTCCTTGGTGCCGACTTTGTGTCGTAGGAAACGTGTAATTAGTGGTTCAAACGTTTTAGAAGTGGTGGTTTCGATCTTAGTGACCACTCACGCCACGCGCACAGCAACCTCGAATGTTTGAAGATGCACAACTGCAAGCGCTGCTGGATGGAAACTCAAGGCAAGACCTTGCAGCTCAGTTAGGAGTCACTCAAACATCGGTTTCCAAGCGTTTCCACCACCAAGTGGGCAAAATTCACAAACCTGGAAGTTGGGTCCAACATGTGTTGACCGGACACAACCTACATCAACGTGTGAACACACTTTCCTTCCACTGCTTGCCCGCCGGCAGCAGCAAAGGACTGCTTGTTGAAAATTCTCCTGTGTGTCTTGTTGGACAGGAAGGGTGTAGTGTATTACGAACTCTTGCAAACTCGTCGTCAATCTGAGCGTGGACGACAATACACCCGACAATCGAACAAACTGCGTAAACAACTTGATCAGGAAAGGTAATTTACTGGGCATGAAAGTGGACAAGTCTTACTGCGACTCACAGGACGCTCTTGAAGTTGGTATGGGAAGTTCTCCGACACCCGGCATATTCAATAGACTTATCATTTGTTCCGGTCAATGCAACGGCAAGCCCCAGTGCATAAGCACTTAAAAACGATGGCCGATGTGCGCAAATTCGTCGATGACGACTTTATCGCCTCGAATCCTGCAAGTTTCTTTCGCAACGGCATTCTTACGGTAACCAAGAGACGGCACAAGGCCATGGATAACAACGGACAACATTTCCAAGATTAAGTTTGCGTTCTTCTCTACTTTTTATATCAAATGAAATTGCTAAAATTCCGTAAAAAACCTAAGTCATACAGCTAATACTAGTTAATCTTTACAGGCCACAGCAAGCTGTGTTTTAGTAGCGAATAAAATGGTCCTCACATCGATCCACGTCATAGCCTCGGCTTCTGAGTCCGTGGCGAACACGTTGGCCTTGTGAGGGGAAGTTGAGTGTGTGATCTTGATCACGTGATCCATGCCAGAGTCGCGGCCCGAGTAGACGGCGGAGGTGGAGCCGGAGATGAAGATGGCCACGGAGGGGGTGAGCGCGTGGGAGGACTTGAAGCCGAGGAGGTGAGCGCCCGGGGTGAGGACACAGTGGCCCAGGCGAGACCACTTGCGCGGCTTGTAGCGGTAGTAGAGCGGCCCCGAGAGCGTAAAGTACACCGGCACACGCCGGGACGAGTGGACTGAGCGCTTTGGTAACCTGGGTGGAGTTAGAGGCAGGTCAGTGCACCGCGTGCGTCTCAAATCTTGAGCGTGGAGAGGGGCTTGTAGTGGTGTCTAAGCGACAACCGCACACAAAACGGCGGTTAGATGGAACGCAGTTGGTGCAGATTGTGCCGACGAGCCCGGCCAAAGTCCGAAACCGTGGAAGCGATGAGTGGCAAGCCTAAGCACTTCACTGGTCGCGTGTTTGGCAGGCGTGCGCACGTGCAGGGGGTCAAGGCAGTGAGTCATGCCGACGTCAGCACACAGTTAAACGCACGCACGCGCACGTCGAGAGTAAACCGGCATCAACAGCGGATTGGTTTAACGCGTCGGTCGGCGCACGTGCGCCCTGAAATCCCCCCAGGAAGGTCACAATTTCGCATGGTCCTCTCGACTGCTGGGTACCTCACACACACACACCAAAATGTGGGTTCCACGAGGTGGAGAAGGTGCGCTACCACATCTACGTGGGAGCTGTGCGACATTCAGGACTTGGCCACTGAGGAAATGGCTAACAGATGTCATTTTGACCACACCACAGCCCCGGCCGATTTCACTGACGGATGACTAAGTCAAGGCTTGATTGAAGTGCTACGATAAACGTCGATCAGGCAGACTTTGATGCTAGTAATTCCTCTGTCGGTTACTTGACCTAAAGTGGAATGGCACATCGACGTGGCGTAGGTAAGAGGAGCGTTAGTACCCGTCTAGGTGTGATGAGCAGCCAAGTAGACGTCTCAAAAAGGCAGCGCACCAACCAACCCCGGGATTCGTGCGAGGACTACCCGGCATCACTCATGCCCCGGCGTATAAACTAAACTCGCACCGTTTATGGACAAGCACAGACGCGAACACCTGCACACGAAGCCGGGATTTCACGTTGTTTTTTGGCGTGAATTTCGCCGCTTCCAGGTTGGGTGTGGGGCTTGAAACAAACAGTACAGACGGAATTCTTGCGAAAAAAACACTGAAATGATAGTGATGCTGCTGTCAAACACCCCGGCACTCCCTCGACTTAGTGGAATGCAATGAAAGAGATTCTTACATCAGGGTTCCGTGGTCTGTATTGTCCACGGGGGGTGTTTGGGCCGCGAATGTCGGGCGAGGTGGCATCGGCGACAAGTGTCGGTCACCCCGCACCGGGGGACCGCGGTGTGACATCGACGAAGACGACGACTGGGCAGTAGCAGCAGCAGCAGTTAGGAAGCCTACAAGGACGAGGAAAAGCGGTAGTGGTTAGAGCTGTGCTGGGGGCACAGGCGCGTCACCAGTACTGAGTGAAATCGCCACACATCTGATTAGTCTGCACTGACTGGACATCAGAGCGCCACGCGATTGCAGCCTAAAACCCCTCCCACGACAAAAAACGAGACCAATACCAAGTCTGGGTGAGAAGCAAGAGCTGGATGCAAATGACTCACGCAGACGTTGGCAATTAGTCAGCAGGCATTACGGTAATGAGTCAGTCGAAATAGCCACGGATTGTGTCAAGTACACACACACACACACACACACGCACAGAAATAGTAACCGCTGCTAGGTGAAGCAACAGCGCTTGGATGTGGGTCCACGTTGTTTGCGCGCCTCACAACCATGACAACAAACACAACAGGATGTAAATCAGCCGGAATCAGTGCTTGTAAAGAGAAGCCAAGCGTCTGTCTGATAGGGCGGAATTTCGCACGACGAAAAACGAACCAGCATACACAAACCCAGTAAACAGAAAGCGCACAACGTGGCCGAGGTGCGAGAGAGAACAAACACAACGAGGGTGCCGATTCGCGACGACAAAAAACGCCTCCTCTTGGGACTAACTTTACCACGACAGTGGCAGTTTGGAGGAGGTCGCGGTGGGGACCAGTTGTGGTTCACCGCGACAGAGCAAAAAGAGGACCGTCGTAGCCCAGCCAAATACACCGAAATTGGATACTTCAAAGCAAAAGTCCAGCTAGGAATCACGAACGGCGTTAGCCTATGAGGTTATGTTTAACACACGAATTCGAAATGGCGCTAAATAAGTAGAGCGTTGATTCCAAGACGAAATCGAGCCTGAATTGAAGTGCTGGAGACAGACCGCGTTTGGTGCATGGCTGTAAATGTTGCCTGTTTCAGCTAAAGAGGCGAACTCTACCAGGCGGAGCAGTCCGTCAATTTCGAGGTCTGTGAGGGTCAGTTGCGCCCGGGGAATTAACGCACACGGCACACCCACATAAGCCGTGAAGAGAAAGTTAATGCTTACGGTGGTCATTAAGCGAAACGCGCCACACCGCGGTGCGGGGAAGGGGGCGGCGGCGGTAGTGGTGCCCCAGGGTGTGCGGAAATCGGACAGTGTCTGTCGCCCGAAGAGGACGCGAGATTTGGGTGAATGCAAGCGTCTGCCCATAGCGATCATAAATTAGAGTAATTAAGCACCAAGTGACTAGCTGGGACATCCTCGCCCCGTCGACCAATCAGATTAGGCGTGCACTCAGTTCCAACCGTTGGCCGAGAATTGAATTCCTTCATTTGGCTAAGTTAGTCCATATCGTCATGTGCAGACTACGATTACCAGTGAACTTACTTCACCCTGAGTGACGAAGATTCTGGTAAAATTCTGAACACATCACCATGCACAAATTTTGTATTAGGCACAAGAGAATCGCGTGACGTCCGGTGAGACAAGAGCCGGCGTGGTGGAGGGGCACCGGCCGCATAAAGAAGAAAAAAGCGGTCGTCGTCGTCGTGTTGTGTCGATGAGTCACCCGGAACAAAACTCGTACACACTCACACACACACATGACAACGAGTAGACGTAGTCAGCGCCAATCGCATGCGCAGAAAAACTCGATAACCTTTGCGAACGATGTGCGTCCACGACATTCGACCTCAATGGACACCCTCTTGGCGTCTCCGCCAGACGGACAGCGCACTTAGGTGGTGGGATTTTCACATCAAAAGGAACCGACACAAAGAATGGATGTCGCACACCGCTTCCTCAGAAGGAGGAGTCAAAGGGCGCAAAGGATGACAAGTAAAGAAGAAGGATAAACACACAAGACAGCTTACCCAGATGCGGCGACATGGAGCGCCGTGTGATGGTGGTCACGGTGGGCGGCTGCTTCGATTCCCAGACAGGCATCGACGACGGCCTAGAGGGGAGACGAGCGTGGCGCTGGATCAGCGTCAGCGGTTCCTCGTAGAGGGGTGAGGCCGCGGAACCCGCTGGAACGCTGGCGTCTGTCGGGTGGTAATGGACGCACGCCGACACCTCGTGACTGCACTCAAGCGATGGACGAAAGGAGGCACTTGGCGTTGCGTAGCGTGAGATAGATGAATGCAGGGGATCGGCGATCGCGGCGTTTCGACATTGTCTGGAAGAGAAAGACAATCAGGTGACCGATAATTGCAATGCTTTGAAATCCGCTCGATTCTAACCGGCTCACAGAGTTGAGCAAGCGTCGCTAATGACGAGAGAGGCGTTCACGACAGTTCAGAGCAGTTTGCTGTGGCGGAGTGATCGAGCACACACCCCACGGCCCGCTATTGATTTTTATGGTCAAGAGGACGCTCTGAACAAGTACGGACTTAAAGAGGCACTGAAAAGGCCTAAGAATCTTTTTTTTTAACAAACGTGCCGGGAGATGACATTTTCCGGCTTCAGTTGGGCCTCGCGTGGCATTCGCATAGTGAATGCAGCATTCTTTATCTAACTAAACAAAGACAGGTACCAAGAGCGTGGAAATGTGGAATGCTTGGCAAGTCGATTGGTTAACGCGGACCACCCAACGCAAATAAAAGAGCACCTTTGACGTAAATAACGAGAAAACGATGAACGAACTTTAAACGTTCATCAAGTGTAATGGTTTCGGGAATGTGAAGGTTCATTTTTAAACTGTGCGAGGGAGTGCCAGTTAAGGATAATGAAAAAATTGATTGAAGATAGGACGTGGTGAGAACTATTACGTTAGATTTACACAAGCAACGCACTAAAAATCAAGTATTGAGCGAAGCAACAAGGGGGCGGAGGCGCATTTCAAGGCCACTTTGGATAGTTGACGAGAGGGACACATCGGAATAGCGAACTTGTCCTGAAAGTGACTCACCCCAGCGTCCCAGCAGGGCCCATGGCTCGTATGGCCACTAAACAGGTTGAGCACGATAGCACGCGCATGCGAAAGCACACGCGCCATAGTGTTTTGTGCAGGGGGTTCGAAAATCGGCCAGTGTCTATCGTGTTTTGCACAAGTTATTTTACCCAAACCGTAAAGTACACACCGCCAAGGACCAAACAAGTGCTCGCTGATGCCGAGGCTCGCAACGCCTTTTTCGCATTTTTGTTTCTGATGACACAGCGTTAGGCGACTAACGCATCTTATGCAAGTCAACATTTACGGTACTAATTTGAATCGACTCCTTACTACCCTTATAGTCCTGTGGGCGCTCCCCCCTAACGATTACCTACCGCAAAGAAGGAACTAAACCAGCCAGTGGACACTTACTGGGAGGCGAAGGTCGGTGGCATTGAGTGCCTCTTGGGTACGGTGGTTCTCCGATCAAGTGGGTGCGGAGGTGAGGGCGGAACTGGTGGAGGCGTGGGAGGACAGGGACCGAATGTGAGAAGATCTAGCTGTTCCAGAAGCACCTGCCGTTTCTCCTCCACATGGGGAGGAAGAAACTCACGAGCCAGATCGTCAGCCAGGAAGTCGCGCACGTCATCCAAAACCACTACAAATAAAAGTGATGTCAAATGCTTGAAGAACAGCTATCACATATTCTAGAGATTAGGTAATCTATCGACGAAGCTAGACTACATGATGTTAGGAGAGAACCTCCTGTGCCCACAACACAGTCAGTATCGAATATGACCGTGACCTAGACGCAAGTCTTGTTTTATTTTAATGAAAATTTATGGTAAATGGTACAGTGACATTCAAGGCAATGAAAATAATGGCACAATAGCTATGGGGCCGAACAAAAACCATCATAAGCAACTCCGTAAGAAGCCTCACAATCACGAGCCTGACAAACAATCACAAGATAAATAGATGTTGGGGTGTTAAAACTACGATTTCAACCACAAATGTTCCAAAAATATTATTTCAATAAACAGACGTAATGATCAAGTAATGCAAAAAGAAGCTTCTCAAAGTCAGTAATTGATATGGCTTTAGACATAAACCATACGCTATTAGTGGGCTTTGTTTAATCCCCACTGCCATAAGTAGGTAGAATGAATATTAATGCAAGCTGCCGAAATAAGAAAAATGCTGTGTAAATAGAAAATATTGTGTGAAAACCCCTTTAAATCGATTAGGGTGTCCTACACTTCAGCTTTAAGCGGGCTAATTAAAATCTTACAGTTTGCAAAGTCCATATGCTGAGAACAATGACAAGTCCGAACTGCGCGGCTTTTGAAATGCGTACCGAAAACCGTAACCTCAATGCTCACAAAGCCTTGAATATAAAGGCTGATTTTGGCCGCAGTCCATATAAACAAATACAATTTTGCGCAATCAATTTAATATGGACAAATTGTTTCAATTTTTTGGTTGTTAAATAATTTGAAATCATTTGTTTAAATTCTACTGCATATCCAAATATTTCTAGTAAGTTAGTACGAAAATTCAACATTTGAAAACACTACTAATTTGCAGCATGTTTTATAAAGGCATGATATAAATGTGATCATATGCATAACTAGGTTTTATTTAAACTATTAAGCAGAGTCTACATTGTAAGGCTAGCAAACGGTCTTAGCAACCGTAACTTTCCAAAATTGTGTACAAGTGCAATTTGAAATTGCTTATTTAGCTGAAATCTATGGCAAGTCGGCAAAAACTACGCCCACATATATCTGTCAACTAGATCTGCATACCAGATATTAAGTATGGATGCAATTATATTTTGAGCGCTAGAGATAAACTAATGTTTTATGTGGGAAAAATAATTATCATTCATGTCATGCTTATGAAAATGTTTGGACAATTTGCAGTACCTCTCTGCAGTTCAATTAATAAATGCTTGTCTTAAAAGGCCTCAAGAAATTTACGATTCTTATGCACAAACGTGCAACATTCCCACATATTTTTGTAAAGATCACAAAAAGCCAGTTTTCGTAAGACCAAATGGTCATTAGTCAAGTTGGATTAATCTATCCTAAACTACTTAATCATGATCAACTAGCACGCATAAGCAGACTACCCTGAGACGTTATTGACGATTTTGATCTTAAAATCAGAAAGTTGGGAATTTCTTTAGACAGATATATTGGGTTTAAATTCTTCATGGTGCAGTGCAAATTATTAATCAAAAAATTTAAATAAACAGGCACCAGATGTTTCTGATTAGCCCTGAACATTTAATGGCTTAGTATCTTCGACTAGCAACGATTTTCAAAGCCTGTGAGTGAAGGACTTCTAGGCAGTAAACTACACCAAGCAGTGGTGTTTGAACACTGCTTATATAAGGTTTAGAAATCCTTTTTTGTAATGTAAATGATTGTTTAGCATTATGCAGTCTTGGTAGACTTGTTTTAACAAACCTGCGCTAATATTGTGCTTTTTGGTTGCTACTTCCATTTACGTATACTACGAGATAAAATCATTTAATTACACCGTTTAGCTTATCGAAATGGAACTTGCGCAAAATCTCTAGTTCAAAGTGTAAAATTTTGAACAATATTTTGCTATCCACCAACTTTCAATTTGTACCACGAATAAGTGATATAATAGAGTAGAAATCTTGTACTAATAGGTCATTAAAAAGCCTTTCTCAGCCTCAACGATCAGTGGCTGTTGTGAGTTCAAATCAAATAATTTTTCATGCTTCCGATTACGTGTAATCAACATTGTGCAGGCATTTCTTGACCAATTGTAAGGCTTTTAAGCTAAGAAGAATCCAAGTTGGTGTAAGTGGTTTCGTCTTTCGTTCAGACCAAATCGTCTGACATTCAGCCGTGATACTAGGTTTCATTATTTCCTATTTAATAACGGATATTTATAAGTAATTACTCGACATATATTTTTGACGGAAAAAAATTTGATTGCAGAAGGTGAACATCGGAAGTGCATGCACTTTTTCAGACCAAACTAATCAATTGTAGTGTACTGAGTGTCAGTGCACTCATTGATTTTCACATGACTGTGGATAAAATGGATGTGATTGGTTTATCACGAAACCCCACGTTGTACCAGAACGTCTGTTCACGTCCAAGCATCAATGGACAACTGTACTAGGTGATTTGCCACATGAGAATCATTGCCACCATCATTTGCGGAACTCACAAATGTTGTTAGCATTCGAAGTAAGCTCTGCAAAAGTTTGTCTAGACGACTAGCTTAGGCAAACACGCAATCAAGTGGCTGTAATTACTGTGATCGCGGTGCACTAAGATCCGCAGATTGCGTAAGACGATGGGAAGGGGTGCAGGGTTGGCGCCACAAAAGCACGACATAACTGTCGTCTCAACCTCTAATTACGGCCAACATCCATTACGATGGCTCTAAACTTGAGCTTGTGGCTTATAATTTGCGTCTGGTTGGCTGTAACCCTCTAAACTACCGCTATCAACAATCATAACCGCGAAAGCTGGACACATTAGGAGGTAGCACATAAAGTGCAAGTTGGGGTGGGTGTGTTGGTGAGGTGGATCATAACTGACGCCTAAAATGGCGAACGTCGTCCTGATGTAGTTACTTAATCAAACTGGATCGTGCAACTCTCTGCTTAAGCGTTACCTGTGTCCTCATTGATGCGCTACACTCCAAGATCATTTTTTGTTGAAGTCAGAACGGTGCAGAATATGTAGTGCGACCAAAATGCCTTGTCTGAAAGAGACGGAGAGCTAAACGAACAAGCAGAATGTTCCCCCAACTGCATTCATCATGTAACTTGATCAGTGTGCATCATCAATTTGTTGTTTCAAACGTTATTGTGTCAGTCATCGCATCACAATTTGACTCTTCGGCAGACACACAAGCCTTAAATACCTCGGCTTGTCATCCTTATCACAAAAACACTTGTCGTAAATGCTGTTTATTCAACCCTCTAATCCGGTCGCTCCGCCTCCTACACAGGGTCCCCCTCGTCGCAGCATGCCGTCAGCCGCGCAAATCCCCAACTCCCCCTTCATTAGCCCGAATATTTATCTTGGAGTGTCCCCACACCTAGGTCTCGATGTTAGCGCAAGTGTGACTCACACATCCGAGCTGTAAATACACACGCGCACACACCACACACGACACAACGACACCAACGTGGTCGAGCGTGGAAGTAAACGATTGTGTCCCGTCGTCTTCGGTATTTTTCTTCATCGCGGCTATCAGGGAAGCGCAATTGGGCCAGGGTCGATTCCGTGGCCCCGGCGCGGTTCAAGACCACACGCTGGGGCCCACAACACACTAAGTGTGATCATGATTTAGCCTTACGCACACTAAGAGTTCATGCACAAATCGTACGGTTTCATCAGCAGATAAACGAGGAAAACTCATGAACGCCCTCAGGCTAGATAACACAAGTCAGTTCAAACGCAAAAAAAAACGCGCGTGATTTGACACGCGCTGCAAGTTCATTCAGTAGAGGATTCACCTACCGACGTCTCACTATTTGGGTCCTTCTTGTGGCCTAATAAGATGAATCACTCGACTAAATACAGACTGTCGCAAATCCACAGCTCACTTCACTGACCACCGTTGAACTCCTAATTCAAGAGACGGTGGTGCACACGTTTCTTCCCCCTTCTGACCCTCCAACTTAACAAAATGGCCACGAATCCAAACACACGCCACGTTACCTTGTCTGGACGTCGCTATGACCCGGCTCTAGTGTTGACGTCGCCGTCAATAGAAAAATGCCGAGATAAAGTACAACTAGTTTGCGTCTCTGAGTTAAAAAGAAGATGCAGTTTCATTTGTGCGCGCTATAGCAACCATGACGTCTGTTTCAGGTTAGATTAGGCACTCTCTGTTACCGAAGAACTTTGCTATTTCAACCAGATTTATGATATTTTCACAGGTTGCCCTGGACAATGTTTTTTTTCTCCAGATTTTAAGGTCAAGTCAGCTTCAGCATCCGTTTGTGTTGTTGCTTTTTTTTGAGCACACCACCAACAAAGTCTGACATTCCATTATCGGTGTGATTTAAAATCGTGCCAAGGGCACGGGTGTGTGGTGAAATGACCAGTCATCCACGAGGAAGTGGTTTGAAATAATGCCACAAAAACGCCATTCAGAAGTGCTCTTGAAAGTCCAAAGATTGCAAAATGCCTCCTTAGACGATGTGAACGCTGGAGTTGTTACAATCCGAAAGTGGACCGAACGAGTAAGTAAGCTACTTTGGTTTATGTGGAAGCGCCACTACGCTCTATTCAATGCGATGGACCTAGGACACGCAGATCACTTTTGAGAAGGTGTAAGCGTCAGAGCACCAGTCTGGACCAAAAAAAAATCGATTATGAGTGTCTGAACTAGTCGTCGGAACAAGGAAGCCGAATCGTGGTGCATCGGCGTTAGGGGTCTATCGGTGTCTGAGGTAAGTGACAGGAAGAGATAGATGGATTTGATGGGAATCTGACTACTAATTTCGACCACTTGGGTCTTGACAGCAAATCATCAATTTGCATGGTTTCCAGTCCAATATTTGTTCTGCTTTTCTGATGAGTTTGTGTTGTGTGTTCTCGTGATGCAAGGCTGACACAAATGACATTTTCGAAGGAAGAAATTGTTTTAAAGCTGCACTTGATTGCTAATTCGTTAACACACTAACTATTCTAATGCGCGTTTAACCCCGCCATGTCATTACCACTTCCATTAACATCTGCTTCACTCTTAAATCCACTCTACACACATATGCTTGTGGCGTTCTTTAAACGTCTATGTCAACCGTGGATCCTGTTCTTTTAAGTTACCCGTGACCCCACACTCATTCTGCTTCATTAAATCACATCTTTATTCACACCTATCCCCCAGAAACCTGTGAGATTACGGATAAAGCAGTTCCACACCCTGAGCCACAACACAATGTGCCCTACTCAAATGCCTTAAGTAGATCCCAAAATTGGTCCATTCGTTAGCCAGCGAATGACATGCGAAGCCTCCTGGCGAAGCATGATCCCAATTACAGTATGCTTTGGCTCCGCAATACTCGAATTCTCATCATTGGGTTGCAAAAACATGCCCCGTACTCGACGCGACTCGTTACCATGAGAACCTGGCTATGGATACCAGTCTCACAGTTTGCACGGTGCAAAGTTAAGGTGCAATTATCTAGACAACAGAAATCGATAATGAAGCAGCGGTGCGAGGCAGCTATAGATTAATCAGCCAATATCCACCCCTTTAGATCTTAATTATAACCTTTCTCACAATAACATAATTC